ATTAGCAAAACTATTAGCATATAAACATCTTAATTAGCTGTATCCCTATTATTATTATTTGATTTCTTTAAACATGTCATGATTTAAAATGGAAAACATTTTTTTATTACATTCACACACTATCATAATTAGCTTATTTGTAAAAATGTCCCACTTCTTTTATGGATGAGGTAAAGGTTAATTTTTGATTTTCTGAATACCTTGGTTTGAAATTGACCTTAGAATGTGATTTTAATATATGTAGATATTCTGATTAGACGAAAACTTGATTACCTTTTAAAACAGGAAAACCTACGTCTAATTTCCAAACTAATAATTAGAAACAGACTCAAAAATGTGATTATAACAAACAAAAGTTATTATGGAGAGTACCCACCATCCTCAGGAACCACGGTGAGGGTGACAACAGTGCCAGCTTCTTTGATAAGCTGAACAATGTCATTGTGAGAGAGCTCAATGATGGAGCGGCCATTGACTGCAGAGATACGATCTCCAACATGGAGCAGGCCGCAGCGATCAGTCGGACTCCCTTCAATGATACGGCCAATTTTGTGAGGGATAACTGAAATGACAGATATTAAGAATTCTGAGGTATTAAAATTCAGCTCAAGTATCCATTTTAGATTTATCAAGATCTATTTTTTTTTTTAAACTGAGATTCATATTTGCATTTTCTATAATTATGTGTTTAGGTTTCAGAAATGTAACCTAAACACATAATGTACTGTAACACAGGTTTCAGATTTTTACAGATTTTTCATTAAAAACACAAACTTGGAAGTTGGATCCTTACCTCCATATGGGGGTTTGCTCTTGGATGTGAGGATGACAAAGCCAAAACCCTCATTCTCCCTGCGGTGGAGTGTGATATCGAAGGACTCGTGATCCAGTGCGCTGGGCATAGGTAGGCGAGGTAGCTTTGGAGAACCGTTCACCAACACAGGAGCCATTTCCTGAATTTCTTCATCCGTTGCTTCTGATATAAAAGAAAACAGTTTGTTGTTTGCATAAAATACTAGTTTGCATTTTTTTGTTTCTATTTCACCCTTTTTTCACAAAGTGCCATATTCAATCTAAACATAGTCAAGGTGATGAAAAAAATTGACAAATTTGTACTAAATCTCAAATCAATTTGTGTGGCTTCGTATTAACCTCTGTAGATGACCTTTCGACGAACAGTCAGCATGACTTGACCGTTACGAGCCGCATTGGTCATGAGGTCCAACACCTGCTTGTGTGAGCGACCTTTGACCATCACTCCGTCGATGCCAATCAGCTCATCTCCGGCTCTGAGGCGACCATCCTTCTCAGCAGCTCCATTGGGCACGATGGCCCCGATGTAAACCTGGGGAAACACATTCTGATATGGGGTTAATTACTGAGAAGTGGCCAGAGAGAAGGCAGACAATGCTGGAGCTATAAATAAAATGGGACAACAGAAAGTTTCCCGTTTCCACCACTAATTTGTCTTAATTTGACTCCAGTAAAGAAGATGCTTTGTGTCTAACTGTTAAAGTCAGATAAGCAACACAGCTTCACATCAACATGCATTCAAGAAATCCCTACTTCTTACTAAGAGGTTTAGACTGTAACAATTTCATTGTATCTGAATTATTCTGAAACTCTTTCATACCAGTTAGTTTTTCATGTTTTTTTTTATGGATTTTAAATTGCATGAGCTAATTTTAAGGTCAACTTAAAACAATTATTTCTTATCAAAAAGGTGCACTGTTTACATTTTAGTAGTGTTGCACCGATACTGTTACCAGTATCGGGCAGGGCCCCGATTCAGCACTAAAATGGTGGTATCGATTTTTGTATCGGTGAGTACCGACAAATAGCGCACTGATACAATTTAGAGAGCCAGATATTTATTCAACTATTGTCACCCATTCCAGGTAGGCAATAAAAGTTCTACTGGATTCACTTTGTATTAGTCTTTTTCCTGCTTCACAAAGGTAGGCAGCAGCTTGACAAAGCCATGATTGTAATTATTTTACATCCAAGTAGTATGTAGTTCTTCATAACACACACACCCACACATCATTTTCAAACAAATGGTATAAATGGCTCAGTGGAGCAGTGGATAGCACTGCTGCCTTGCAGGAAGAAGGTTTTTGGTTCGATTCCCGGCCATGGGGTCTTTCTGCATGGGGTTTGCATGTTCTCCCTGAGCATGTGTGGGTTCTCGACCTGTCCAGGGTGTACCCCGCCTCTCGCCCGTAGACCGCTTGGGATTAAGCGTGTAAATAAAAAAAAAATGGATGGGTATCGGTATGGTTTCGGTATCGGTCAATACTGCACAGCCAGGTATCGGGGCCAAGAAATGGCATCGGCACAACACTAGATTTAAGATAACTAGATTATTGCTCTATTAATACATGTTTGGTCATACTTCATAAAGGGTCATTTGTGAAATGTATGCTATTCAAAGATATATACATTTTTAAAAACATAATTGGCTGCAAAGTTTTGGATTCAGGACACACCTCCACTTTTCAGGCATAACATTTTGACCACCTGTGTTATAACTGTTTTGAGGCTTTCTGCTGCCAAAACAGGCCTGACCCATTGAGGTATGTCATCCCATCCCAGTTATGTTAGTTTGGACTGATATCTGGAAAATAACTGTTAATTTTTTCTATATGGATGTTTTCATCAATTTGCAGAAAGAGGCCACAGCTGTCAGGGAACTGCAATGTGGAATCCATACAATATAAAAAAAAAATGTGACTCATCAAAGGCCACTTTCTTAAATTCCTCAGTGATTGCTTGATACTCATGTCTCCGTTGTTGCTCTCTTTTGTTGGTATACAGGGTTCACCTAGATGATCTGCAGCTATTCAGCGTCATGCAAACACCCCATAACATGATGACTATGACCTTCATTCATCTCAATAAGGAGCTTATTAGAGTTGCAATAATCTTAAGCCTTCACATTTTGGTAGAGGTTGTTCTTCTGACAAAGCAGCTTAGAGGTCATTTACCATTCTAATATAACTCACCTATTTCAATAAAACGATGAAGAAATAATCATTGTTATTGCTTAACTGGTAATTATGGGTTGCCTGATCAATGTGCGATGAGAGTCCTTATGGTAGTAGCAGTCTTTGTTTGGAGTATTTGTTCTATTAGAGGCCCACCATGTTTATACAGTAGCAGACATATAAACAATGCCTCTAAGATCCACAATGCAATTAAAATCACAAAATTAGTTTCATCCAATTCTTTCTTTAAAAAACTTAAAACAAAAGACTACAGCTACAAATACTTTCAACAGCTCCTATCAGTTTCAATACTCTTTACTCAGAGTAGGTGAGTTTTATGGACTTACTGGCTGTTGTGGACCTTCTCCTCCCAGAACTCGAAACCCGAAGCCCGTTTCAATGTCTCTCTTCAGAAAAACATCTATGTCTTTGGTGTGAGGCTCTGTGGAAGAGAGGAGTTTTACCGCTACCTTTTTTCAGTGTTAAAAAGAATGTTAAAAGCAGCATATCTTGTCAACACTCACGCCTGCTCTCCAGCAGGGCTTTGGACTTCAGGTACATCTCTGAGGCCTCTCGCTTGGGGGAGTCAGAGGAGCGCAGGGTGCTCGTGTTCGAATGGTAAGGCAAAGCCTGGGGAGTCGCATCTGCAATGGCGTCTAAAGTCTCTGTGCTGGACGTCATTTCTTGCCGCTGATGACAAATACATAATCGTTATCTCATACTGATTTATGCTTGGTTATTCCATGAAAGGAAAAGCTCAATGCATACACTTCTTTTGTATCATTGTCTTTTTTGTATCTCAAAAAAACATTTAATGAAAGTCTGAGCACCTCGTTTTCTTTGACAAGTGTCTAAGCATCACACAGCGTTGGATAACAAAAGCTGGAAAGGTCACTTTTAATAACGTACATCAGTCCCCACCTCCCACTCCGTCCTAATATTCCTTCTATTGTTTCTGGGGGTAAGTAATAGGATCCTACAGAGAAAGTGAAGATTTCCCCGAGGCTGTGATAGGCCTTCTCAGCATGAAAAGAGAACCGTCTTTATCTAAAACTGTTGTATTAATAACACCTACAAAACTAAACAGGCTCATCCAATCCTCATTACCCCTGCAATCCCCAGACAATAGACCAAAGAATACGAATAGCAAAAGATAGGTAATTAAGACTGTTTTTGAAAGCAGACAAAAGAAGGCGGTCTGAAAGATAATCAATATTCAAATTTATTGCTATTATTTAATTCAACTCAGCAGAGGATTAGTGGTTAAGCTGAAGGACGAAATCTTTTGATTTCAAATTGAAGTATATTCCCCCACAGGGAGAAACAAGTAAGGAAGAGACAATAATTCACTTCTACTCACAGGCTTCAAAGATTTCACAGGAGATGTCTGACCTGTTGTAACAAAAAGACAGACAAAAAGAAACATGTTAAAATCTATTATGTTCCTATTTGAAACAACAGAAGCTCCAGCAGATGGCACTGTCTCTCTGACTAAGACACAGCGGCAGGAAGTGTAAAAATAAACCAGTGAGCTACTTAAAACTCAAGAGCTGTCTTCACTAAAGAATGCTCCATTAGGGAATATTGAGCCATCCATAAGATTAAAGATACATATGGAATATAGTGTTAGTTCATCATATTCTGTGCTGCAGCCCAACTGTATAGCTGAGAAAGCAGGTAATGGCTTTTGTGTTTAATGCCTATAATTCCACGGCTGATAATTCTTCCCTTTGCTTTGGAGCACACCCACATGTTCCATCTAAAGCACTCAGATAGTTCCCTATAGAACATCTCACACAGCCCAGCGCTCTTCCCCCATCCTCCTCAATTCTCTGTATTAATCAAGTTAACAAATACTTGCAACCCTCAGGCCACATGATGACCAATTGGCCTGATCTGAGGTTAATGGAACCTGATGCACTGTAACGAGGGAGATATTTTCATGCATCACCATTAAAATTCCTAACCCAACATCATCACCAAAAACTGAAAATGAAACGTTTGCTTTCCACCCAAACACTCCCTACTGCGCCCTACTGTCACCTCCACCCAGCTCTCTGATCTTTTTGTTTTAAGCAAAACTCACCAACAATAAACACACAGTGCAAGAGGGAGCCTCCCATAAGCTACAGGCCATTGTCTAATAAGGGTTTAGGATGGCATTAATTCTTTAGTCTGGTGAAGCCAAGCCCATTTATGCTTCAACGGTGGGAATCATGCAGTGGAGCAGGACAAAACTATGGTGGCACAGCAGTAAGTGTTAGTAGTATGGGTGTTTGGACAACAAGGGAAGACAGTTCAGGCATAGCTTGGGGCATGGAGGACCCAGTGGACCTCCCCTCCTTAGCAGTTTAGCCGTGGATCTTTTAGAGGCCACGGATAAAGAGGCATGCAGAGATCCCCTGCGCTCTCTTGATGATCAAAGCTAATCGGGGTTCAACAACTTGCACAGCGTGTCCCTCAGGCGGCTATGGCGAGATGTAGGAGACATTTGAAGGGTGCCTCCCCTTCTCAACACTGTGGAATCAAGCGCTTCTCCACACTTATGTAATTCCCTCTCTCAGACTTGTACCTTGCATTACGCCTCTTTTACAAGTTGCCATAAACAGGCAGAAAGAGTTGAGCTGTATGGAGTGAATGTTTGAGAAATACTTGGGATGCGCCATCGGGATATGTAAAGCATTGGCAAGAAATTAAACTCATGAACTGGCTTTGAACAGCATCTACAGTAGCTAGAGTGGTGAACTTGGACTTAGCCAGCAAAAACTATTCAGCTTTTCCTGTGGAAGCTTTAAAACCCACTGCATACATGGTGTCTGCAGTGGGTTTTAAAACATGTGATATCACTCAGTGTCCCTAAACTGGCCACAGCACAACCTCACCTCCCATCAGTATCAGCACTCTGACCTCACCTCCAAGCATCACTGTAGAAGTTTTAACAACTGGAGTAAATAATGTGAGAAAAAAAGAACAGGAAAAAGATGACTGTGCAAAAGGTAAAATAATTGATAGAATTACAAGAAAAGCCTGTTTATTACACATCAGGGATGATGGATCCGTGTGACTACACCATACTTTATTAAGCCATGTTCCCTATGCTGAGTGGAAATACTCATAAAATGTGTTTCAGTAATATAAAAACCCAAAAGGTATATTTTAAGGTAAAATCAGAAATGCAGAATCGATGCAATTTGCAAGAGAAATATTAACTCCAATGAACAGATAAGAGGCATATGTCAGAAACCATGGGCATAAAATTACATATTAGCACAGAGTTTCACTGGAAAGATACATCTTGCATCATTTTTGTGTTTATACCATAAAATATTATGGAAACAAACAATGCAGATATTGCTACCTCTCTGTAAAGTGATAGCCAAGATAATACATTTTACTTAATTGTTTTAGAAAGGAAAGCCTTTGAATAGCATTTGTGTTTATTGAAATGAAAGCTTAAAAGCTTTCATTTTACTGACTTTTGTTATTTTTAACATGTTTATATTGTTAAACACTGTGCAAAAGATTAAAACTATGTTTTTCTGGCAAAGAGACCCCATCCTGTTCAATTTTTCTTTGACCTTTGACTGCTTTCATTCTTTATCTTTTTGTTATCTTTTTATCTGTTTCCATTTACAGCTCTACTGTCCTTGTAGACGTATCCCTCCTGTTGTTTCAGACACAAACACAGACAAATGACCTGTATGTTTGCGTTTTTGAAATGAGGAAAATTGAGAGCAGTGGATGAAAGAACTGACAGGGTATAGAAATCTATCTATAGCAGCTCAGGAGTCGTTTGTTAAAGAAAAAGGCCGGGTACTGAACTGATAATTACAATGAAAAATAATGAAGAAAAAAAAAAGAATCTGTCAAACACACCCTGTCAGGCTGTTCATGGTCGAGACCATAACTCATGGTCATTTTTAATGATTGCAGGTAAGTCTAGCTGCCTGGAGGCAAAATATAAATGACTTAAATTTCCTGTGCAGTGCAGAGCATTAAATAAAGATAAAAAAGATATCTAGATAGATGGAAGAGATGCAGAGATGTATGACTGTTTTACTCTCACCTCCTCTCAGTACCAGCACGTTGACCTCACTGCCCACAGGAAATTCTTTCAGGATGTCCACCACCTGTGCGTGACTAAGGGTTTGGACATTTTGTCTGTTGATCTCCTTGATAACATCTCCTTTTTGAAGCCCACGGCACCATTGGGCATCTAGGATCATCTTCACCTTCTGCCCCAGAGGACAGTCTGCAATGGCAAACCCAAATCCTCCAGGCCCTTTCACCAGTGGGACACTCACCAGCTCGGGCTGCAGCATACCCGTGGCGCCCTGCCCCTGCTCAGGCTGCCTCCCATTGGGCAAAGCAGCTACGACAGGCCGACCGCTGGCGTCTGTTGTTACGTAGTGAAGTTCCTGTGATGAGCCATGTAGGACATCACCTTTCACTAGCAGGGGTTGGCCATTAATGAGCGGCACAGCTGTCACCACTTCCCCACCATGGAGAGGCTGGGTGGCTGGTGGAGGAGGAGGAGGGGGTAGAGGGTCGTCGCTTTCTAGATCTACATCCGGAGGAAGTGGGTACCCACGGCAAAGAACCATGTCCACGTATTGGTTGATGGGGATGGACTGAAACATCTGCACCACCTCTGGATGAGTCTTTCCCAGCACACATGTCCCATTAATTTCAACAATCACATCCCCTGTGACAAATGAGAAAAGACAAAAAAGAAATAAAAATATATTTTATTCATTCTTAACCCAGACACCAACTGTTCACAACTCAAAACCTTTGAATTACCGTCATCACATGGTTCCTCCAGAATCTCATCATCACCTACCCTTTTCTCATTTCATCAATTTCCTTTACTGCTTTTATTTCTTTTTATCTCATTCAGTCATGTTTTATCCCACCTACACTTTCTACATTGCACGCCTGAGCAGTGCTCTTGTTACAAATGAAAAGAACTGGAGAAAAAAGATTTCCGCCACATAATACTATTCAAATAATTACACACACTGCACACCTTACCAGACTGACAGCTCACAGTGTCAAAGTAAAATCAATGTCACTGTAATCACGTAATGCGTTTGAAGACAAACATTTCCAAAGTTCTTCATAACATGAAAAAATGGCTCCTTTTTTTCTGTTTTTTTACTCAATCTCGTCCGAATTAAGGACATTAACATTTTTTTAAGGGAAATGAGGCCTTCAGTGCTTTTTAGATATTCTGTTTTTATTTGTGATCTCCTTGATAAATTGTGGACACACTCTCACAGTGATTTGTTAGGCTACCCACTCCTGAAAATGTATAGCACTGTTCCATATCTCTTCTATTTATAGATAATGGCCTTCACCTTGGTTACCCTAAAGCCTTAGAAACAGCTCTGCACTCTGCCTGACAGATGACAGGGACTTTATTCAACATCTTTTTTGGGGAATTTCCTTATACCAGAGTAAGAGTGATAGATGTGTTTTTTCCCTCTTAGTAAATCTAATATTCATTTTGAGAGTGCTGTTTGGAAAATTGGGGGTTATGCATGCATGAAATAAAAATGTAGTGTTAGAAAAAAAAAAAAGCCAGAGAAAACATAAAACATCCAATTTTTATGGAGAACAAAAGGGGACTTTTGTTTTGTAAAATGTAAGTTGTAATGTACTGTAGAATATATTTAGCTTATAAATATGTGAAAGTATAAAAGACGTATACTAAACTTAAAATTGTGTATCCTCTGCATAGTGGTAAAACAGACATTCTTTAATGTAAGATGTTGAGGGCGCACATGCAATAATAAGAAGGCAAAAACAATCTTGTTGCACACTGCAGAAATAGCAGAAGAGCGGGAAAACCTGGATAACAAAAGCCTCCCAGTATATGCAGTACTGTATGTCTAACAAATTTTCAAGAGTCTGACTTTAAAACATTTTCTGTACCAATGTGGTCTTCCTGACAGCGACATTGCATTTTAATTTAAAGTATTTTCCCCCTTTGCCCTGTCTTTTGAAATGAAGTTGAGAACATAAACTTAGTTTTGCTCACCAGATGCCATCTTGTTGTCCTGTGCTGCAGGGCCATCACTCAGCACATTTTTCACCTGGAGAAACTCATCTGTGCGGTCTCCTCCTATGATAGTAAATCCAAAGCCTTGTGAGCTTTTTTTCAGAGCTGTGTGGTACATCTCCCCCTTCAGCTGGTTGGGGTCTGCAGTGAAGCCGAGCATACTCCCTTTACCTGTGCAAAAGTTAGACATTTCACACTCATTTCTGATAATCAAGCAGCACATAATAAAATAGTGAAGAAATGCAACCTCTGAACAGTAAAGCACTCCAACTGCAGCAACAAAAGATTAAAACATTGACATTCCTCTTGAAAGAATAAACAGTGTGTACAAAAATGTAATTATACGCATTATCTGAAAAAAAAAATCAACACATTAATCAGTCATTATCCAAATAATAGATGCAATGTATATTTAAACACAATAAACCCATTGACAGAAAGGTTTTTTGCAGCCATGTTGAGAAGAAAAGCCCACACACAGATGAGGTGACAAAATTATAGCTTTAGAAGCTAATCTACTTGCCTCTATTCATTATAAAACTATAGCGCAGAACGTGCAAACAGTACCTCTGACACTATCTAATTTAGCGTATTGTCCTTTTATCTCCTACTCTATTTAATAAATGGCTTAGGAAAAGTGAAGCTTTGAGACTGTTGTGATTGCAGGCTTTATGTAACTTGAGTCAGGAACAACTAAAGGTCAGCAGCAACATCAATAAGGACCAGCATCTCTGTTGTGGCATAAGAAATACACAAAATAGCCCACTCTCATTGGTTTGCATTAAGCTGCAGCTTCTCCTTATCTTACAGTTCTACACTTTGGATCATGAAAATACTGAAACGGTAAAACATCTGATTACTTTGAGGGAATTCAGTAGTAAAATACAGTTTTCCAACTATCAGCAACAGTTTCTTGAAAAGGTCAATATAAATCCTTCTCACATTCTGTCATGGTAAGACGGCATCTACTAAATTTATTTTGGGGGATTTTCAGGTGACACACCAACACAGAGAAACTCATGATTATGAGCGGGGTTGGGGTGATATATATTTTTTATATTTAATATTTTTTAACTAAAAACAAGAAGCAAATCAATAAAACAATCAAAAACTAAATGTGTATTTAGTCCCCTGTTTTTTTTTTTTTTTACTACAGCAGCAAGTTTTAGGGATTTTTGTCTCTTCCAGTTTTTCACCTGTAAAGGCAGATATTTTCTTTGCATAACAGTTCAAGCTTAGCCACATTAGATTGAAAACAGGTTAGTTATCTGGCTGCTAGAACATACAACTACATTCTAGCAGCTGCTTTTTGTGTTTTGCTAGAATAAAGTGAAACTCGGCAACATGTTGTAGTTTTTTACAGGTATCCATCCAACATTTATATTTATTTTCATCCATTCAATGTTTCATCAACTCTGATCAGCTCTTTTTCCTGCAGAAAATGATTATCCCCATGGCATGATGCTGTCACCACTATATTTTCACAGTAAGGATGGTGTGTTCAGGAAAATGTGTTCTTTTGTATTTTGGCAAAAATGTAACTTCAGTCTAAATTGACCAGAACAGATTATTCGATATGTTTGCTGTTTCTCCTACATGGCTAATGGAAACCTGCAAATGTTACTTGATAATGTTATTTTTAAACCATTTCTCTTTCACTAGTTTTCAGTGAAGGTTGGCTCTATGGACTGTACTAATAATACCTATTCTGTACCTGGGTGAAGTTGACAAAATTGTCTGATTTGAAGAAGGTGGGGGCGCTGGTTGACCTTTGATGACCTCTAGAAACATTTCCTTATATCTTTAAAATGATACAGCACAGACGAAAATCTTTGTTGCACAAACCAGCACAAACGTAGCACAAATGTTTGACACCAATTTCATCGGATTTGAAGAAGGTGGGGGGGCTGGTTGACCTTTTGACCTTTACCCTATCATTAATATCTTCAAAGCCAAAGCAGCACAAACGAAAATATTTGCTGTACAAACCATCACAAACAGAGTCGAGTTAATTGACACCCATTGTGTCTGAATTGAAGAAGGTGGGGGGGCTGGTTGACCTTTGATGACCTCTAGAAACATTTCCTTATATCTTTAAAATGATACAGCACAGACGAAAATCTTTGTGCACAAACCAGCACAAACGTTTGACACTAATTTCGTCTGACTTGAATAAGGTGTGTGTGTGTGTGTGTGAGTGTGTGTGTGGGGGGGGTCTATTCTTCCAACTTAGTTAATCCTTTTTTTTCTTTTATTTAATTACTGATGAACAGTTTATACAGATATTGCAGTAAATTACATACAGGCTGAGTTTTCACTAATTAGGTGACTCTTAAACCTTGTTGGGAACATTACTTAAATAAATGAACTACTTACCTTTACTCGGTATATCTCTAAAAAAGCGAATTCTTTTTTTAGGAACACGTTCAACTGAATCGGAGGCTCTGCGCCATCGTCTCTGCGCCATCGTCTCTGCTCTCAGTCTGTGTTCAACGCATGATTAACGTCAACCCAATTTACAGATCCTCAGTCAATCGGCATCACTTATGACTCTAACTCAGTTCCCTGCTTGTCACTGAAGTAAAAATCTCTCCCCCTCTACAGAGTCTGATATTAAAAGTCTCTTTGATCAATCTGTAGTAACAAACTGCATTAGATTGCAGCATTACCAATATGTGAAAAGCAATTATTTCGATTAGTTTTCAATGGAACAACTAATACACTTTTTAACACTCCCAACACTGCCATTAAAGGTAATACGTTGCACTGATTTCTATTTAAGGTTTCAAAGAAAAGGGTTGAAAACATATGCACGCCACACTTTCCAGATTTTTACTGCATATAAAGTAGCTGTTGAAAATCATGCACTGTTTCCAATCCAGTACTAAACTATACAGTCCCTGTGTGGCTTTATCTTATAAATCCAAATAAAATACATTGTTAGTTGCAAGGGGTTATGTATACTTAATATTGCAAACCTGCCAATTATAATGTCAGTTTGTGACTGAAACTAAATTAAATAAAAAAGATTAAAAGAAGTCCAATTAATCAAAGAAAATACAATAATTCTACCTAAAGACTCTAAGACCAATGTGTTTTTTCCTGATAAGAGTACAGGCTCAGGTAGTTTACACATTCCTGCACAAACAACATGAAAGGATGTCATGTCACTCCTCCCTCCTTCAACAAAACCCGCATTAGTCTGTCTTAAGCCCATCGCTCCTACTGAAGATGTAAGCTTGTATATAAATGTCATAAGTATAAGAACTAAAAGGCTGAAGAATTAAAGTTAATATTTGTTATCATGCTTAGTTTCAAATGTAATAGAAATAACAGAATTTGATGCATTTTTTGTTTTCTAACAATAAGTAGTAACAAAATAATTATATATGAAGACGTTATTATTTTAGACATTATAAATTAGAATTTGTGGATAAAATTAAATATTAGGAAAAAATGCCTTGCCTGAAAATCAGCTGTTGGTCTCTGGGAATTGTAAGCTCCATGTCCTTCCAGTTTGTTTTGGGTATATCTGTTCTCATGGCCTGAACCCACTTCAAATGATTGCTTTCCCATATTTAGTTATCAACTTCCTGTTCTGGCTGGTTTAAATAAGAACTCCACACCTCCCTCTCACTTCCCCTGCCTTTTATAAACACTCCATAACTTTCAGTGTGAGAGGAATTTAAATCAAGGCACTCTCAAACTCTCATGCGGTTCATCAGGCTAAAAACGTCCAGGGCAGAGTGGCTTGAAGTGTAAATTATCACAGCCAGTGAGGACTCCAGATGTCCACCGCTGGTTTACGGATCAAGCATAGCTTATTTACATAATGACATTGAAATTGCTTGATAAACTCCAAATGAAATACTTCCCTATTGCTCCTCACAGGGAAACCTGAAACATGCATTTGATAACACACGTTAGAAAAAACAAAACATCGAGATATAAAGAAAGTCAACAGAGAAGGGAACAGAAGAAGAAGGTGGTGTGGCATGTGTGTGTCTGGAAGCCAAAAGACGGTTTAAAGGCCTCTTGATTGGAATGTGTTGATTATAAACCAAAAGGAGATAAACAATTATGTCCACCTTGGCAACCATGATTTTTGGCTGTTTATGTGTAAGAGGTCAGAGTAGTAGTTCTTCTAAGACTTTATTGATCATACATATATCTAATGACAACTGCATCAGGTAGACCTTTTCATATATCAGGCATACCTTTTAATCAGCTTGTTATCCCAAATAAATAGACCATTTAATTGCAGGAACTCAGTACATTTTGGTATATAGATTTGTAGATGGACACTTGCTAAGGGTAGGGTTGACACCATCATCGAGAGAAATACCAGCTGACCTGCTGCCGTCAACACCTTTGTTTATAGATGTTGGAGCTTGGCCTGTTTTTTTAGTGTAGTCCTGTTTCTCTGAATGTGACTAACTCTCTTCATCCTCTGACATGGGGGCTGGCTTGGAGCTGGTATGCCTGTCTCTGGGTTTCTTGGAGAAGGCTGGTTGACAGTTGCCTTTTGTATCTCTGTGTGTCTGCTTCTGTTTCCTTGAACCCCAGTCGACCTCGGCAGATGGCCGCTCACACTGAGCTTGGTTCTGCTGGAGGTTTCTTCATGTTAAAAGGGAGTTTTTCCTCTCCACTGTCTCTACAAGGATTTTTGGTTGATTGATTTAAGGATTCAAGGATTGCCTTCAAGTCAAAGAGTCAATTCAATCGGCTGATTTTCCTTAGATTTAAACAAATCTGAGTGGTTGAATCTGGTTGAATAGTCTCTGTAAAGTACCATGAGATGACGTGTTATGAATTGGTGCTACATAAATAAACTGAATTGAATTGAAATATAAAGTAAACATAATAAAAATAGAATATTTAGGTCACTTTGAATGTGGCATGCCTGTCCCAAATGGGTAACTCCGCAAAAAGAAAAATTTTCACATAGTTTAGAAAGTAAAACGAATAATATAGGTTTGTCACAGGTAGAATGATATATTTCAAGACTATATTTCTTCTAAATTGTATGAGCCTATAATGGATAACAGAAAACCAAAATTCAACACATGAGGACATTTGAACTGTAAAAGATTTAAAGACTGGAAACTGAAAACGCCAGCACAAGTTTCTAAAGTCTGTAAACAGTCTATTAGTTAAGGTGAGTATCCTTCACCATCATGGGGTAGACTGCTGACATGACAAAAGTCCAGAAGTCAGTAATTGAGAACCTCCACAAAATGTTGTCACTAACCAGTGTTCTGTTCCTGCACCTGAATCACCATGTGACATTGCAGCTGAACCATTACTGAGAGAATGGCTCTAAAGTTGGTAGTTAAGGCTGCACAGAGGGCCTTTGGGGGCAGCATTCCCTTCACCTCAGACCTCTCCACATGCACTGCACTCCAACCATCCTATTTTTTGTGTGTGCATCCAGTTTTGCATATATAGCTCTGGGAATTGATGTCCCAGAGCTAGATGATAACTCAATAGATTTGCTTTCACAATTCTATTCTATTCTATTCTATTCTATTCTATTCTATTCTATTCTATTCTATTCTATTCTATTCTATTCTATTCTAATACCAACACTGTCTTTCACCAAATAAAACACTAAGGAAACTAAAAGGAGAAAAACAGATGAAAGGAAGATTGACCTGAAATCTTGCCACATTTTATTCCACCTGGAGCTTTATAGACATCCTCAAACAACATTTGATAATAAAACTGGCAGAAGTTCTGCTAGAAATTTAACTTTTCCAGCATTTTGTGTTCATTAGATTGTCACAAGCACAGAGCAACGAAATAAACTCTGCATTTAACCCATCCCCTTGGGGAGCAGTGGGCTGCCATTGTGCGGTGCCCGGGAAGCAGTGTGGAGGTTATGGGTCTTTGCTCAGGGACCCAAAGTGGCAGTCCGTTGGAGAGGGGCTCGAATTCAGAACCTCAGAATTCCAAGCGCAATGCCCTAACCACTTGGTTAGCATGAAGGGTCTTGCCTAAGGACCCACACTGGCTGGTAATTCCCCCCCAGCTGGGATACAAACCCAGGCCTCCTGTTTGCGTACCGGTGAGCTCGCGGCTGGCTAACTCAAGTGGTAAGTCAAATTTCCATCAGCAGGTCATATCTCCGTGATACTCTCTGCTTAAGAAACATTTTATCTGGGACTGTTAGATGCGTGAAATGGCTCTCTGGGGATTGTGCATGAGCTTGAGGTGCATGTTTATGTTGAAGTGGAAGAGAAGCAGTGTTTCAGAAGGAAAAATACATTTGCGGGCGGGGCAGCTTACAGGTCTTAAAAAAAAAAAGTATATATATATATATATATATATATTCATGTTTTGATGTATACAACACCCTCCTTTTATTTATGGTATTTCTTTTCAGGATTGATCATTTCCCAAGAAAAAATGTGCTTGGACTTTTTTGGAACACTAGTAGTCTGTGTTGTGGCCTGAGGTGTAACCGCTGATCATAGCAACTGTCTGACAGCTCAGCAGGTTGTGTAATCAGTAATCAGCAGTGAGATGGCGGTTTACTCTGTCCCCATACACCTGAGCAGAGAGACGCCTGATTATGCTCAGCCTCTTTAACGGGATGTTCCACCAGCTGTTGACACAAGCACCGCTAAAAGGCAGCCTCCTCCCTCTGCATGCCTTCTTTTACATCTCTGAAACCCTGCCAGCACTAGGAGCCCATCTCGCTCCACACTGATCTGCAGCTTGATCTTCCGTTATACTTCCTTGTAAGAGAAAAATGCTTATATTGTTGCAAACTAAAAGACCTAACAACTTGTTTGTATATAAGGTTAACTAATGACTGACATTCAGCTTACTTGTTTCTACCGTGTACTTAACTCTAAAATTAAGGTTTTGATTTTAAAAAATATCCTTATAGAAACAGTTGTATGACCATAGAAACGAGTAATTTTTCCCGCGTTGCTCAATGTTGGTAGAAAACCATAAAAAAATACCAATTCAATCTAATTTGGTTCGCATGAATTGAATTGATGGGCTGCTTAGTGGTGCAATGGGTAGCACTGCTGCCTTGCAGCAAGACGGTTCTGGGTACGATTCCCAGCCCAGGGTCTTTCTGCATGGAGTTTGCATGTTCTCCCTGAGCATGCATGGGTTCTCTCCGGGTACTCTGGCTTCCTCCCACAGTCCAAAAAACATGACTGTTAGGTTAATTGGCTTCTCTAAATTCTCCTTAGGTGTGAGCGAATGATTGTTTGTCTCTATGTTGCCCTGTGATGGAGTGCAACAGCGACCTGTCCTCTTGCCCATTGAGCACCCCTCACGACCCCACTTGGGATTAAGCGTGTAAAGAAAATGGATGGAAACATAATCATTCTTTAAAAATGAAATTTAATAAATGTGTCAGAATTTTATCCGTTTGCGACATTACCCAGCCCCCTGTATTCTCTATTTAATTTAAACAAACTGAGCAGCAAATGGACAGAGTCTCATTATGCTTCATCTATTTTGTTAGAGCTGTTACATTATGTCATTATCAGGATAAAAGTAACATACAGATAGTAAGGAATCAAAAGTACAAATATCTTCAGTCAAATGTAGTAAGTAAAAGAAAAAAGTCATTAAATATTCTCAAGTAGAGATACCAAAATAGCTGCTTAATAACAGCCGCAAAGTAGTTACTAATTAATACCTCTGATCAAAGGAGAATTATATTGCTGTCACTTTCTAAAAAGAGAGAAAAAAAGGAATTAAAATAAAAATGACCAAAATGAAACAAAATTACTTCTCTTCCTTTCTAGCTTAAAAAGTAAAAATAAAAAGTCAAAGACGTTTACTCATTAAAGAATTAAACTAAAATGCTTCATGCATAAAGTAGCTCTTACCATAAAAGCTACAATTAGCAGTTTGATCATCTCAGGTGAGTCGAGTCTAACAGGAATTTCTACATTTTTTGCAAAAGTGACAATGGCAGTGCACGTTTGAACTTGTGCTAAACTGCTTATTAGTGGACATGAATGTGCACGTCTTAAACGGCGAGGGTGTTTTCAGGGCTCAACAGAAAAAGTTGAAGAGTGCAGAATCACACAAAGGTCTCAGGATAACTTGTTAGACATTATTCTAAAAGCACGGGCATGCTTGAATAAGATATTTTAAATATTAAAGATTTGTTTAGTCGTTATTATTTTAAGTGTATTTTAATATAAAAGAAAATTGCAGCAGTAATTACAAGTTTTCACAAAAGATCATCCAAACATCTTCCATTATGCTAAGCTGGATGCAGTATTTTACATATGTATCATTTACATACTTTGCCATGGTTTATATTTCCCTCAGGTGTTTTAGAGAGAAATACCTTAGCCACTGTTAAATACAGGCTAAAGGTAATGAGTCATAATAGTCGGTATAAAACTGCTTGTATAAGCGACATTTGTGGAGTAATTATATAAGGGTGCTGTTGTGTTTTTGTTTACTTCAGCAGAAAAAAAGAAGACAGCAGGTGGAGATTGCCTACCTGCATCAGTCCATGTCAAGTCAGAGTAAAAAACCTCAAAGAGCTAAGAGTCAGATAGCAGTAAGCATCAGAACCTAATCCCCTTAATTTGTGTCACGCCCCACCTCTGAAAATATTCAAGTTGGTCTACCTGTTGTTGTTTTTTAAAATCAGTCTGCTTACAGACAGGGAGACTGGAGCAAGTTTAAAACCCAACTGGGAATGAACATAAAATTCATGTAAATGAACTGACTTGCCTTTACCGCCTTCCTATATTATAAGCAAAGTAAAATGTAGTACCTAGACTATGGAAATGAGAGAGTACGGTGCTAAAACAGTTTTTAGTTCACTGGTATCATCATGTCATGGTATCATCTGCACAATCCGAGACTGTTTAAAGCCATGCTTGCAAACATCTGGCTTTTTACTGAAGGCTGTAATAACAGAAAAAAAACCCTGACAGAGTATATCTCTCATGATTGTTGCACTTAGCAAATGCAAATAAACAAATATAAATAGAGGAATAACTGTTAGAATTTGAGGAAAAATGTTAACCACCCCAAAGTTAACGATACAACAGAACTAAGATCTTGCTATTGATTTACCTTACAGTTGTTTTGTGTAGATTCTTGAATGTGTCTTTAAACCTTTAGATGTAAGTGAATTGTAGGCTTTAGGTTTTCATGCAGGACTGGCATGCCCCATTTACACTGCCCCTCTGGAACCGATCCGTGCTGAGTTCGGACCCATCTTTCATCAGTTAACCGTGTTGAGCTCGGTTCGTACGACCATTTACACATTGCACTAGCACGGTTCCTTGCCTCCTACCAGCGGTCTTAAGGTGGAACGCAAGCAAAAATGGCACCGCCCATAATCTTTAGGAACATTCATGTACCTGGATAGTGTCTTCCACCTAGATTTCAATGAGAGCCTCGGCATCTGTATCATCCTAGGTCCACGCGATTTTGATGCCATTTATTTTTAATAGGCGTAGAAGAAGTTCGTGTTGTGAACAGGTTAAGAGATCTGTGGATTACAAAGCCGGACAAACTGGAAAATCCAATTAATGAGTCAGATGACTGTAAATAGGAGATGACACGGTCTGTGGATCAGCATTTAGATATGTACTCATTTTGGTTCTCCTTATGTTCTCTCTTTAGGTTTTATTGTAAAGAGCATCCTATAACTATTTTCAGTGATTCCCTGTTAAAATTATCCAAATTGCTTTTCATGCAAATTGCCACAAATTGAACTTTATGTGCAACTGTGGAGTTCTACTCAACTACTAAAATCCTAAAAAAAAACATTGTATTTTGTTTTTTGTCTGCCAGATAATCATTAGTCTCCCCTTTGATTGGCCATAACAGTAAAACAGTTTCTTAGTTTTTTTGTCATAAAAATCTTTTATTAGTTTTGGGTTTTTCATTTTCTGAAAGTCATAATCTTTAAAGGAAAAATAAGAAAAATATAGTAATATATATCCACTTGCATTTAAAAAATCTATACAAGACACGTTTCACTGTTCAAACCACATTTTTGCCATAAATGAGCTTTCTGATGTTTTCCCTAATTTGTTGTAGGGGTAGAGGATTTAGAGACATGAACTTATCCGCTGTTGTTACCTTGAGATGGTGCAGCTGCAGCTTGCTTGATTGCAGTCGTGTCTTTGTTTAGCTTCTTCTTTGCCTCCAGGACTGGGTTTTCAAACTGGGTCCTCTGATTGATGTGGCTAAAACAAACAGATTTGCTGTTAAATCAGGAAGGGTTGGTAAAGCAGAACCAAAACATCTTAAAAACAGCTCACATACAGTATAGGAACCAACTAATAATGTAGGAAATAAAGGTCAGACAGGGAGTAGCATCTTTTCCTCTACAACAAGCTAAACATCTTGTTGCCCCTTTGGCATACAAACCAGGACCATTGTTTCAAAGGAACTCATTTTAAGCTAAACACTGGCAGCTACAAACTCCATCAATATGACATCGACTCTCTGTGTCCAGAGTGTCGCGTTTCCATCTCTTGTCATTTCTACCTTGAAGGCTTTTATCTGCAGCCTGAGCAATAAAACAACAAAAGCTTTTCCTGCTCCCATTTCGTTACAGCAGTGAGCCACTCTTCCTTCAGTCCTTATTCTACTGCCTCGATGTGTTCTGGTTAAGAATCTCTCTATTCCATTCCCTCTAAATGGCTGTAAAACATAATTGCTATTCCACTCATATCCTACTGTGATGCTGAATGCAAACACATATCACATCCATGTAAGCAGCATACACATTCAGTATTGTTCTATAATCCTAAACTGCCATGAGATAGTGAGACCCCATGCGATATTGTGCTTCCGGGAAGCTTCACTTTGCCACTAACTGATAAATCAAAGGAAAATCCTTATAAACCTCTTTCAGGTAAAATATGTCTCTCTGTGTGTTATATAACTTGGCACCTTCTCACCCAAGATGATGCTAAATCCATTTGTTTTATTTTTAGACAGAACAGATTCTTGCCGGTCTGCTGATAATAAACACAAAGCAGCTAAATAGTCACATTTGCTCTGATACTTTATATACATCTGAGTGAAAAATCACAAAGCACTAATTCAACTTACTCCACATAGTATGTGCCGTATTGTGGATCATCAATTTCCTCCCAGCCGTAGGGTAACTCTGGAAAAAGAAATCAATATGTCAATTCTTTTGTGAGAAATGTCAGTAACAAGCTGAAAGGACAAACTGAATACACAGACAGAATATTTATGACTTATCTCGTAATTACAACCTTTAGTTTAAAGTCAGACACAATCATACGATGTCAAATAATACATTGATTACTTTCATACTGTCTAACAAGTAATCATACACAGTGCAGACATTATATCAGACGTAGAGTTTTGTGTTTTTAAGTCTTGTTATTTCAAAAATCATTAAAAACTGAGTTAAGAGTTTTGGGTTCCCTTCCAAAAGTTTCTCTCAACTTTGAACTAAAATTAGACCAGTTTTGTCGGAAGGTTGAGATATAAGTTAATCAGTTTTTTTAGGCAGTTTTACTGGCAAAAACCTTTTAAACATTGCCCCTCAAATGTTCTGTATGCTGGGATCAGGATTTTGAGACAACCAAGTCTGAACTTAAAGTTTGGTGTTTTGGAACCAGTCTGAAACTAAATTGGTATTATTATTATTATTATTAGCGCCATTATCTAATTTGAAGAGCCAAGCTTTAAAGGTATAGTAGAGGACTTTCGTGTATTGAAAAGACCCGTCCTCTCCACTTTAAAAGTAAAATACACATGCACAACCCTGCACCCATTCCCGAGAGGGAAAGTCCATGCTCAAGCCCATTTCTCCTCGTGCACGCTCTGTTTAAAAGTGACTGTTTGCATCGCTCATGCAAGCTTCCTTTCGTAAAGATTAGCAATTTTGCCACTATGTTAGAATCACCACCGGTTAGTGAAAATGGGGATGAGCATGTAGGATGGTCCTACATTAACATATCACCAGAATAATTGACAATTAGGAGGACCCCTTTCACCAGGAAAAATCCCATCCTCCACTATACCTTTAACTTTCTGGTTTTCCACAGGATGCTCCCACTCCTGTACGTCACAGTTTGGATACTGTTCAAAGATCCCCCTCTTTGTGCTCTCAATTTAATCATAGACAAAATGGAAAAAAAATGTTTTATCATTTAACTGTATAATTATCTAAAATATTAAGGTACTTGTCAATTTACAAACTATAATAGGGTTTTTAATGCTTCTGGATTTACCTATTCTTCCCTTTTAAGTGGTATCAGCCTATATTTGCTTAGGACCCATTTTATTTTGCATAGTCACTCCAAAAAAGCCACCACTGGACTTTTTTTTCCAACATTTTTGGAATGACTATGACCTGGATGACATTCCCCAACCACTTCCATCCAGCATCTTCAGTTGTTCTTCTGGTTCTGGTGCAAATACAGACATCCACACCAAAACTGGAATCTCTGGGGCACAAAAGCTGTCTTTTTCCTGATTTCTAGGATTACTGAGGCTCTATAATACCTATATTTTCATGTAACTTCTTAAACAGATGAAAATAGCAGTTCAGAGTGAAAGCCAAAATTTTCTTTGTGATATTTTGTCATATTTCTTAGATTTCTTTCTATTATGTCACGTAAACATTGCTTAAACAGAACTAATGTTTAATATGTCGAATGTTGTAATGTCATGGTATACTCTGGGCTATTTGAGACTGTTTAAAGCCATGCATGCAAACATCTGAGGCTGTGATAACAAAAAAAGAAAAAGAAAACCCTGACAGAGTAAATCTGTCATGATTGTTGCACTTATCAAATGTAAATAAACAAATATAAATAGAGGAATAACTGTTACAATTTGAGGAAAGTTAATGATACAAAAGACTTCCTGTAGAAAATAAACAAATGAATGTTAAACTCGCCTGCGTGTGCACATTGAATTATTGCAGAAACATAAATGACACATCAGAGTGTGCTGATGACTTGTGGCATTCGCTGGTTGAAAACGGTGCCATTAGGAGACAGTTTTCTTTTTCTGAAAACAGCTACTGGATAAAATGCAGCAATTTGAACTCACCATGGCAACCTGAACTCACAGCAGATGGACAGCTGATAATCAGCGTCTCTCAGCTATGTTTAGCGTACACAGAGTTCAATTGTTTTTAGGTGAAACTTTTAAGCACAGAGCAAAAACAAATGGGTAATTCTTCATTTTCCTCATCAGAAATCCCATCTCCCCCAGGTATGAAGGCTACCTCTTTTATTCTCTAGATTTAAAAGATTAGCATAAAAAGCTGCACATATGCAGAGTGCATATGTGTGGCTTTTAATAAATAATACTTGAATGATGCTCATCATTTCCTGTTAAGAATATCAGGCAGACGGAGAAAAAAAGGGGGGAAAAAAGAACTTAATGCAAAAGAAAGCTGGAGGAGTTGCCTTTCACGAGCACCATGTAAGTTTTGTTGTAGAAATCCATTAAAAACTTGCTGAAGGGTCCCACTCTGTCAGAAGAGGCCACTCTTGGTTTCTGTCTGCACTTAAACCAACATTATCATCCCTAGGATACAAAAGAACCAAATATATGACATTCCTTTAGGGAGATACATGCTTCCAGATTTCATGCTATTTAGGTCAAGATCCTAAAGATCACTTTAAGAGGTCATGAGATTTCTCTATTAAGTACCGATATTGTATTATTATATTAAAATATTAGTAATGGATTATATAAATATGCATAAGAGCATTTAGACAGATATTGGCTACTGCATTTTTCAAATCCTATAATGGTTTACAGATTATAATATGCTTGAATAGCACACAACATACCGCCATCCTCGCACTTCTCTGGGGGCTTTGCCTTCTTTGCTAAGCGGGGGTCCAACCATGTAGTTGTTTTCGTATTGTGACTGTGGAGCACAAAAGCAACAAACATAAAACATCAACAGTATGGACTCATTCCAGAGAGGATATCAGAGCAGATGCAAAATAGTTGGATTCCCCACTAAAATATGGACAAGAGTTGGTGCCCTTAGCACAGGGAAACTCACTGGTCTCTTTTAAGCTTCCATTGTGTTTATGGTAAGATGGCCTTTTCTTGCAAAAAACAACTAAATCCTCTAAATGTGAAACATGTCTTGTTTATCCTCAAATGGATTAGACATCTGGAGTGTGTAATCAACAGGAAAATCACAATAGTCTTCTGATATTTCCATAGATAAGCAGCTTATAGTCCAGTTTGATTGAAATACGATTGAACACTAATAACTACGCTTTAGAAATAGATGTTTACTTTTTAATAACATCAAAAGAAAATAAACTGTTTTTTTTTTTTGTTTTTTGTTTTTTACAAAGAGCTTAAAACTTATCTTCCAAGAAAATCATTTATCTAAACCCTAACAGAACAAAAAAAATAAAAATAACACTGAATGGTTGAGCTATTTGGTTTAAATCTATCAAATTCTCAAAGATATTTCTTTGCTATCAAGAACGAACAAAAGCAAATGTTACAAAAGTGACCTTTTTTTATTCTTGGAACTCCAGTAATGTTAAAAGAAATGAAATAAAGGTGACTAAAATATAACTATACAGTTAGAATTAAACCTTACATTTCATGCCTTCTCTCGCTGATCGAAAAAGTTATTCATACTGAAAAGTATGACTAATGCCCTTTTTATTCATATTAGTGTTTAAATTCATCCAAGTACTAAATGAGATTAAAAACATAAAATCCATACAAATAACATAAAATACATATGATTTTTTAATTTTTTTTTTACATCACATCTTGTACAGAACTCTATTATTTCACCTTGACAGAAAGTCTATCCAAATATCCTCTCATTATCAATGACACAAACTGGGGTTGCCTGGTTTAAGTTAGGTGACTGCAAAGATTGTTAAGTATTGCAAAGTTCCCATTAATTAACTCACATTTACCATAATCACAAAGGCTCCTGCACTCACCATGACTTTTAGCATCTAAACCACTATCATCTAAATCGGTTGTAGAGAGTCCATATAACTGGTCAAATGTATTTACATCTAGACAGTAATAGTTTTTAGAGCTCTTTAAATACAACGGCAGACAAAATGCTGTTTCCAAACAGTTCTTTGCCATTTATATACTGCATTCATTGATATTACAGTGATAAATGGACACTAATGTACAGACACTGACCACTTTTTAAGACGCACATTGCTAGTGGTAGGACCAACTTATTATATTATTAATGGCATAGATAAACAAGGTTTTAGATACTATATTTTTACTGTTGGATTTAAATCTGGTGACTGTGGAGGCAACATAAGGGATCAACTCAGAACGTTTAAGAAAAAAGCTTAAAATTATCAAAAGGTTTCAATGAAAACTGCATGTTGGATTTGACCAACATGCAATTTTCAATTATCATTCAGTAGACTGGGCCTGCACCTGCCGTAGCCCCAGCTTTCCTATCTTTTCTGATGACACCTGGTGTGGTCCTCTGCAGCTGTTAATCTCCTTCAAGTTTTGATGCACCGTGTGTTACGAGGAAGTGATGTACGTACCTTATATTTTACTGTTGCCTTCCTATCATCAAAAATTGGACCCTTCTCCTCTGACATCAGAACTACATTTTTGTTCACACGACAGCTGCATACCACATATTCCTATGGCTGCATGCGGAGATCCCATAAATCACTTTCTGTAATGCTCAGAATAGCACATCTGTCATCAAAAACCATTGGTTTAAAATCACTTTAAAGCTTTGAGCAAGCTTCTCTCACCATGTCTAAATACCCAGATACATGTATTGCTGCCATATAATGGGTCGATTACAAACACTTGAAGAAGTGAACCTTAATAAGTAGCAATACATTTAGTGACGGTCTTTATTACAGACTGAATTACTGAGCCATCCTTGTAATAGACTTAAGCATGGATTTCTCTGATAACAGCTTTTATTTTTCTAGATTAGTTGATCTATAGCAGGAGTTTTAAAACACAGCCTTTTTCTGTTCCCTGCAATGTTTTTGAGCAGCACTTTACTGAATTAAAGAGTGGTATATATTTAACTGACTCGCACAGTTAACTTAAGAAATTAAACAAGACTTTTTCAAGACTCATGGACCTATCCTGATATTGTTGAGAAAAAAGTAAACAAAAACTGTAGCTATATTTTTTAAATTATATGCCTCTTTTTTATTGAGAAAAATTATGAGGGCATTTTTAAATATAAGGATTCAACACAACTTATATGTACTTCTTAACCATTGCTGTATATAATCTGTAACTCTTTCATCTGCTATTATCTGTCATTATATATCTTGTATTATAACCCCACTAATACATATATATTATACATATCCTAACCTTCCTGTATAATCTGTATATAGTTTTTCATATTTATTTATTTTACAGCCTCTTATAATTTTGTCTCTGTTTATATATTCCATTTATAGTCAATACATATATGGTGTCTGTGCACATGTAAATAAATATTTATATCCCATATAGTATTTCTGGATAGATGCAAACTACATTTCGTTTCTTTGTACTTGTGACAGTGTAATGACCATAAAGTTTAAATCTATTCTATCTGTTTTATATTTTGGATATAACATAAATAACCATTTTTTTTAAATTAAAATATAATGGGTTTAGTTTGCTGTTGAATGTGTTAAAGAGAAAAAAGTAGCAACGAATATGCATATTTTTCTTTATTCTATTTTTTCAAATCCATTTCTACCTCAAAATTAGCAATTTTGCCCCTGAGCAAAAAGTTTTGGACACCACTGATCAACATGATATGAATAAATAACATATTCAAATGTCTGAGCCTTTGTTCCAGTGTTACATTTGCAAATGGATACTTATAGCCATGTTCTGGGGCTGACACATTGAACAGAAATAATCATATTAGACTTTTAATGAGATAATTAGGGCCGATCTATTCACTCTTAAAGCAACTTAATAAATGTGTAGAGTTTCAAGTTAACCGTACATTTTACTACAAGAAGAAGCTAGACTCCGCTTCTCTAATCTAAAAGACCAAATTCTGAACCAATGACATTGTTGCTATGAGCCAGCAGACCTGAACATAGTTCAACCATGCAGCCGTCAGCTTGAAAGTGTTAGGACAAAATGTTTATATTAGTTATAACTGTTTCTAATTATATGAAATGCAAAATAAAATCAATCCTGTGTTTGTGACTTTTTTAATGAATAATCTATTTATATAAATTATATACTTTAGTTATTTTATCATACAGTTTTTAAAAATAGGACCACTTATACTGAGTCTCATCAGTATGTAAGATGACAGCATTTTCTCAGCAGGCAATGTCTCCTAAGCCCTGTCTCACTTACTCTATGAAGTAGACCATGCCAGTCTCGGTGTAAGCCATCTCCCAGTTGTAAGGCAGGGGCTCCAGGCTGTCATCGCGGGGAAGAGAGCTCCATGTACGGAAGTCCATGGTGCTGCTGGACTGAGTGTAGCTGGGCACTGTTTTCCTCCAGTCTTTGTGCTCTAGAGAGAATGGATGGACATGTTAGAAAAAGGGATAAAAATAGAAAAAGGCAGTTAGAGGATATACCTCCAAAGTACAGGCAAGCTACGTTATAACACCTGCTACAGGGTCAGTAAAGGAAGAAGATATTCTGCTGATTGAATTTGCATGGAAGTGATGATGTAGGTGTGTGAGTAGGTCTGCCAAAGGGTTGTTTTGCATTTCCTACTGAGAAACTACACTATAAAGAAAATGAAACAAGCAACAAAGACACAGCTAATTCACTTAGCACTAAATGCTTTGTCTCAGGAGATGGTTATAAAAGATGAAAGACAAGAGCTTTTCTGCCTTTCCTTTTTAACCTCCCAACAATAGCAAATAATGTTGAAAGATTTAACGTCCAACACACACACACCTCAAACAGTTCTACAGCATTAGTTTTTGCAAAATAAATTATTTCTCCTCAATCCTAAGATTATTTTTAAAACTCTCAACACGCTGTTTTTCAGCTGCATTCTGGTAATACGCCGCTTTTTTGAACGGCCTTCTTTTCCCTCTTAAGATCAAAAGCACACCCTCTTGCTTCATCTTTACAGAGACAAAATGCGCATGGCATGTTTGAAGATGCGCGCTTGTCATGTAGACACTTTGAAAAGCAGCCTGAGGGAACGGCCCAAAGGAAAGCTGAGTTCATCAGCAAGGTTCAAAGCAGGGTGAGGGCCCACTTGACAGTAGGACTGTAGTTGATAACGACAATTTGAGCTCTGATGAGGAGTTTAGAGACAGAGAGCTCACATTTTCCATTAACCTCTTTCTTTTCATTCCACCATGCTTGTTCTGTCCATCTATGGTTGGTCTGGGACCGCTCTGCAGCTTCCCCTCAGCAAAGCAGTCATTTGTAACTAGTCTCCTTCCATAAAAAGAACTCCTGGATCATTTAGTGTTTGATTTCAATATGATGGAGCCGTTGGGTAAACAGACATTGGATCCCTGTGAATCCTTTGTGCAGCTGAGCAAGTAGCGCTTGAGCCTTGTCTGTCAAAACAATGTTTCATTCAGGAGAAATTATTTCAGCTTGGACTTGCTTCACTGTTAACCCCCATTCTCCTGCTAAAAAAAGGCTAGGTATGTTGCAAAGCATGTAACCTACTTCTGTCATAGAGGTTTTCTCCTTGAAAGCTTTAAGGGGATATTTACTCCTCAGAGAGACGAGAAGCTGAGCTGATTGAACTCTAAGACTCTGTCAAGGTGACCTGTAAAAAAGCTGCCTGGACACAGTAGCAGTTTTATTCAGTTTGGAGATGCACCGATTATATGTTTTTGGCGAATACTGATCTCTCCAGGTACTCCGGCTTCCTCCCACAGACCAAAAACATGACTCTTGGGTTAATTGACTTTCCTAAATTCTCCTTAGGTGTGAGTGTGTGTGTGAATGGTCGTCTGTCCTGTTTGTCTCTGTGTTGCCCTGCGATGGACTGATGACTTGTCCAGGGTGTACCCTGCCTCTTGTCTGTAGACAGCTGGAGATAGGCACCATCGCGACTCCATTTTGCATAAGCGTGTAAAAAATTTGTTGGATTTAAGCTACTGATTTTAATTCTATGACTTTTTAAAGGAGTAATATTGACAAAAGCAGAAAAAAAATGCTCCAGGTTCTTTTATAGAGGTAGTAGTCACGAATTAAACAGAAGTTCAACCAATCTATATCAACTGCTCTTTTGTATTTGACTCCATATAACAGGGAATGTGGCTGTGAAACCATCCTGGATAGAAATATTAGCTATGCTGCTGCCATCATCATCTCTGTTTATAGATGTTGTAGCTTGGCATATTTTTTTATTGTAGTCCTGTTTCTCTGACTGTAACTAACTGTTTGTGCTCTCTTTCATCCTCTGACATGGGAGCTGGCTCGGAACACCTTTGCCTGACTGTGTCTTTATTGGACAGGGCCACCCGTGGAGCTGGTTAACAGCAATCTTTTCTATCTTGGCTTCTTTCTGTATTTCTGCCTCTGTCTCCCTGAACACCAGTCAGCCTCAGCAGAAGGCAGCTCTTACTTAGGCAGGTTTTTCATCCTGTTAAAAGGGAGTTTTCCTCTCCACTGTCATTACATGCATGAGAGGGATTGGTGAAGAGTCAATAAGTGGATGCAATCAGCTGGTTTTCCTTAGATAGAAACCTTTGAATCATCTGACTGTATGATCTGGTTGAAAACATAGTTCATAACGGAAAAAAGGCTTAAGAAGACCATCACAACAGGTGAACAATAGCAGAAAGATTGCTGTTTAAGAAAAACAGTCTGTGCTTGAAATTGACTGACCGGGCAATCCATTGACCAGCGGGGGCCTCTCATCATCATCCTCCTCCTCAGGTACGGCGCTATCCTTCCTATCCATCTTACTGACTGAGGTGGTCCGCTTCCTGGGGACTTCACTGTGGAAATCCTCATCAAACAGCACCTGATCCACCAGGTCAGGCTGCACCAGATTGGGCTCTGCAGGCGGCTTTGGGGTCCCATAGTAGTTACCTTTGAGGAAAAAAAAGCATGATGGAAAAAAAACATGATCGATGGTGCAACCATGAATACGGAAAGATGGGTTCAAATCAACACTAAGAGGGTCTATAAATATACTGTATTTACTGTATGTGTGTATATATACATACATATACATATATATATATAGCTTACTGATCTGACATTGATCAAATAAACCAATTATATTCATAAAATGTCACACAACAGCACTTCAGACAGCCAAGTTCAATGTTTTGGGACTCCCTCCTCTGCATGATTTTCACGTCTCTTAACCTTCTGCCTTGTTTTCCCTCGATAACTGCACCACAGGGCTGTCATGACTCATATAACATTAAAATCACTTCACTTAAAATTCTCCAGCAACTAATTACACTGATCATTGAATACAGCAATTATCTATCTTTCTGTTTTTTCCTTAATGAAGAAGGACCTTGTGTATGATGAGTATAAATATTCAAAGAGAGCACAGCCCCCTGAAAAAGAAAGGGATGGAGTGCAAAACTTTGTTAAATTATTTTCTCATTTAACTCATGGGGTGATCCATCTATCTATGGGCTGGTGAGCAGTATGCAGAATGCAATTTGGGCACAGAATAAGTAATTATTGCACCTCCATTAGGACTATAAATAATGTGCCTACTAATTTATATGCCCACCATTTATTATGATTATTTGCTTTGTAAATGTTGCTCTGTCAGATGTGTTTACACTAAAACCACCAGATTATTTTCTGGCAATCCATTTGCAAGATAAAATATTTACATAGTTCATACAATAAGTGATCTCAGCTAAAACAAGAAATGTAATTGGATTAATTAAAGTATGTAGAGTAATACCACAGGGAAATATGAATCTCTGGCAGTTTAATTAGCTCCCATAATTTTGATCATACTTCAATTTAGTCCCAGTTGTTAATGGAACTATGATATTATGTGCTTTTGATGTACTTAAGCGTTAACACACTATCAAAACAAAATGCATTTTTTTTCTTGGAAGCAGCATTTATTAGATCTAGATCTTTTTTATGGCATGGAGGGGAAGAAAAAGAAAATAAAGCCATGGTGTGCAAGGAACTGTGGAGAACATCACAGTCATTCCAGTGGCTTTACAGCACTAACCCTGACACTTCAACAGCTTTTCTGAAAATTGAGCTCATCTTGAAGCCGGCCTCATTTCTAAAAGCATGCTAACAACAACACCCAGCGTACAAGGGTAATGCAACGATAGCAGATCTCCCTCAAAGCGGCAAGAAGATTGAGGAGGAGAGAAAGGCTGGATGAAAGCCGGCCCCTCCCTATTTGACATGCAACTCTGTGTTTACCAAATGACACTCATCCGCATTTGTCAAAGATGGCTTCATTAACAGGAGTTGCATAATGATAGCAGGGAGAGATTTGGGTGTGCTGCCTAATCCCTGACTGCCTCCTGCTGCAGAATGACATTTATCAGCCAGACGCTACCTCTGTGATTAATTACTTACAAACATGTGTCTTGGCCCCTGATGAATGTGTGCCGTATATATAGAAGCGTGTGAAAGCAGTGTGTCAGTGAAGATGTGTGGCACCATTTGCCATTACAACCGCTGTGAAGCCTCATAAGCAGATGAGCCTGGAAAGCTTGTCCTGCGGTACGTGTGAACCTCATATCAGAGGGTTGATGAGCCAGGGTAGAGTGAGCCGACTCTTTCAAAGGGTGTGCAAGCCATTTTATGGTGGTGGGCTCAACTACAGAAAATGAAAAGATTCCTCTTGCCAATGTCACTCTACAGGCTAAACAAGGTCATGTGCTCCTTCATCCTGCTACAGCCACTCAGAGCAGACAAACACAGGGAAGGAGACGTTGAGACTTGAAGCTCCATTCATATTCTAATCAAATTTAGTCTCATTCTCCATTTTTTTTCCCGTATAAAATGGCAAGAACATTTCATCATGGGAGCTCCAGAAGTGTTTGATTGAATTTTTGTATTTCTAGGCAACAAAATAGAGATTATTGGTTAAAGGAACTTTCTCTGTGTTATCAATATCATCTTTCGGGGCTGCTGTCCCTCTAGAATTGCAGGGGAAAAGTCCGTTTTGGTCCATGGACATGTTAGAAAAATCAGGTCCACAGCAACACTGATGGAGAGCAGACCAAAACATCTAGAAAGGCCCAATATGAGTGCCAAATTTTCCATGTTATTAACTGCTGCTCGTTTGACATCTTGCCAGTAGTTTGTGTGGAAAACAGCAACAGGCTAGGTTCACCAGGACCTCAAATACGATAAGCCTCTCTGTGCTTGCCTGTTGTCTAAACAGGGTTGACTTTTAATGAGCGAATCATGATGAAGTACTTATGGCAACGCTGTGTATATTTAACCCAAGTATAATCTGAATTAGAGATATATGAAATTATCTTTTAGGTCGGTATACAACACTTTTTTTTTGCTTTTCAGTTGGCTGCTCTTCTCAAAAATAATCATATGTATCTTGATTTGGTCAAGAGTGCCAATTTAAAGCAAATCAAGTTTCCCTTAAACACAACACCTAAATAAGCTAGAAGTTGTTGCTGGCCAACAAAGCAGACATGATATTTAACTCATAAGATATATCTTTGGTTCTGTAGTCAAGATTTTAATCTAGAGAGATGAATGTGGCTTTGTCTTTACTACAACTTCTCAATTTGCTTGTCTACGGTGTTTGAGTTTGCATTAGTGCAGTGTCAGCCTTTAGGGGTGCTAAACCTGGAATATGCTGGTGAAGATTCTCAGTCATCCAGGTCATAGTCATTCCAAAAAAAAAGAAAATGAAAAACAATCCACTAGACTTTGTTTCCAAGTTTGAAGACATTTTGCTTCCCATCCAGGAAGCTTTCTCAATTCAAAATGTCAGGAATAGCGTTGTGTTCGAGGTTTCATACAGTAACCCAACAAAGCCTTGTTTTTATTTTGAAAAAATGCAAATTGAAACAGTCGAAACAGTGTTGCTTTAATGCAGAAAGCCCAATAATGGCATTTGCATGCCTGGGTCGACCAGATCCTCCAGAGATACTAAGTGCAGGAGCCACTGTTGAATAACGATTGTTTCCTGTGGTACTTCTGTCTGAAAAGGGCCCAAAACTATTATCCGTCTTTGGGGATGGATCACCCAGACAACAGATGTAGACAAGGTACTCCGACAGGTAGAGCAAAAGCCCTGACACAGGTGTCAGGCCAGGACCAGCTTTGAAACTACAAGAGGAGGACAAATAAAGACTAATTTAACAGTCTTTGGAAAGGGCTAAATCAAAACAGACTGTTAAAAAGAGACCACCCTCTACAGAGCATTCATAACTTCATCCAATGTCAGCATACATTTCTCAAATTTCAATTTTGATTGAAAAAAGCTTTGTCTTCACTGCGCTCCTTCATCCTACCCCACAACCATATCCAGTCCTTAATTGTTTGATGCAACATAAATTGACAGCGGATTTCACATCACGTCCACCCTGGGTTTCGCTTCACATTGCTTCACTCCTGAATACGCCTCTAGATAGTGACAACATGCAACTCACTCAATCCAATTGCAATTTTGAACATTCTGTATGGATGCATCTTTAGAAAGTATTTGACCCTTTGGCCGAAACAAGCATATACGAAAAAACCAAGTATATTCTTTATCAAGATCAGCATGGAAATCCAAAGCGCTTCTCTGAATAGGCACGCAAAGTTGTATGGGCTGGATGGTATGAAGAAAACATGACATGTTGATTTTATCAATGAACATTTTGAATAGGAATTTTCCTCTTGCCTCTGTCTTTCATTAAATTATTGAGATCATTACCAAGCACAGGTGTAAGTCACAATATGGGGCAAAATGTACCGCTTGGCAGAGGTCTGCGATTCTTCTAGTTTACACTAAAATTATTTAAAATGACACAAATTAATTTTGACAGCCCACCAAGAATTGAATCTAATCAGTCCTTTGTTGTTTCCATATTATTACTCACACTGATTTGCAATGACCATTGTGGTTTAATACATTTTGCAGCCAAAGTTGTATGCCTGACCGTTACTTCAAATAAAAGATGAATAGGACCATTTATTACAGATTCATTGACCACGGTAGGTGAAAAAAAAATCTACAAAATTACTGCAATAAAATTTTTTTCAAGTGAAGAAAAAATGCAGGATCTATTAGCATAATAAGCATTCAGGCAAGTCATTTGGGACTATTAGTGAAAGCATTATGATTAGTTAAGCATCCCATTAGCTCAGTACCTTGAGCACAGCTCACTTACTGTACACTAATAAACTGAAGGTAATTCATGAGCTCTTCAATGAAGAACTGAAACCCATGTGAGTCATAAAAGGGGACAAATGACCTTGTTTGTTCCTTCCTTTTCACAGAAAAATAGGCTGCACTTCAAGCCCTACCAAATTAAATAAGTACCATTCTGTGGTTCGATTACTTCCAGCTCCTCGCTTGGTTCCCTGTGCAGCTAGAAGATCAACCACAAAAGCCATTCAGTGCCTTCTGCTGACTGGGCTTAAGCGGAGTAGCGACTGCTATCAGAGTATTCCCTATGGAATAGTGTACCAAAACCTCCCAACTTTGAAAAGCTAATCCACACGCCTGCACTGAGCCAGCCGGTCCTGCTTACACTGCAAAGAGTGTGTTCAATGGGAGCTGAGAAGCTCAGTATGCTTTTATATCAACTACTGTATTATTGTCATCTGCTTACTCTTGATTTATCTTCCTCTGCCGAAGGTCAACATTTTAAACCCAGACTGGCTCTGGTTAAAGAGGACTTGCATCCTCTTGGTAGTTTGTCAATTCCTGAAATATTTTCCTTTTAGCAGAAAAAGAGATTTCTGATAAAGATTATGTGGGATTGTGTAAATTACAAGTGTCTATAGGAAAAAGGTTTTGGATTGAAAATTACATTTTATGAAATACTTTTAGTAGATTTCATCCCAACATCTTACAGTTGTATCTCAGGTTTCGATGAACTAACAGAGATTACACAGTACAATTACACAGTAGCCTAACACACCTGTGCAGACCAAGCAAATAGCAGATCTCACTTTTAAGGCTTCCTCACTTTGGAAAAGGATTACACTTCATCTTATAAATCCAACTTATAGGAACCAGAGGATGCAGAAAAAAGGGAATGTCAGAACAGCGCAGTGATGCTAGATTTGATGCAACCAGAGATTTTCCCCTCAGACTTTTAGCAAAATCCCTTCCCATTTTAAAGTAGTTTGGATTTGCCACCAAAAAAAAATGCTTAAAGAGAATGGGGAAGATTATTGTTTCATTGCCATAATCACTGTGCAATGAGATACATCCCCCTTTCCAGTTCCTTTATGACATAAAAATATTTAGACCCTCTTACTTCCTAAGATATACCAATGAAGAGAAACAGCTCATGCTCCTTTGTATCAAAAGAAAAGATTATGATGTGGTCATTCTGAGAACAAATATCTATGGCTATTTAAACTTTTTATCAAAAATAGCTCTAAATAATACGGGTGAATTTTTAACATACACTGCTTTTCAAAAACATTAAACACATTCAAACTTTTTTAAATTTATGCACATAACACCCAAAAATGCTACTATAATTGTTTTATCTGTATTTTGTATCTTATCTTTGTTTTTAAGTGTTTAAATGACCTTACCCCATTTGACCTCTCTGCGCTTCTTCCCCCCTACTTGCCTCCTCAGTCTCTCAGGTCAGCAGAACAGCAGCTCCTGTAGGTACCGCAGTTTAAGAGGAAGCTCACAGGGGAGAGAGCTTCCTCTATCGCTGCTCCTCTTTTATGGAATAAAACATTTTAAAGCTCGGCTTAAGACTTACTTTTATTCGCTGGCTTTTAACACTGGCAGGACTTAGTTGTTGTGACCTTGTTTATTTAGCTTACATAAATTCTTATTATTGCCTTATTCTAGATATTTATGGTGTATTTTATTTTCTTATTGAGTTTTATTATTTTTAGCTACGTATGTTCATTTGCTAGCTGTTTTAAAGCGCTCTATAAATAAAGTTGATGATGATCATGAAGTATATATTTTGGATTGTTTCTGACACAAAATAGTGTATAATTAAGAATTAAGAAAAAAAATATTTAATTTTTTCTTAATAAAAACCTTAAATGTTTGATGATTTTACTCCTTTTGATCCAGTGCCTTTAAAAGTCACTTGATCAGAAAAAAATGTCCACTTTGAATGAATTAATCTCAGTATAAAACACCAGAAAAATCAAGGACAAAATGAGTGGTGGAATCATACAAGCTTTGATTATGAAACAATCCATTCAGTCATTTCAAAAGGAAAAAAACTCCTAATATACTAAGATAACAGCAGCGTAGCTAAACGGGCAAAAAGAACATTCATTTGAAAGGCTACCAAGTGGTCCAAGGTGACTTCAGGGATGTAGAGATCAACACCTAATGAAGGGCAGTCTGTTGACTGGACAACTATTAGCTGTGACCTCTACAATCGTTCCACTCTAGAAGAGGGAAAAGACTTTGAAAATGTCACAGAAAGTCAATATATTTCACAGAGGGATTTCCCCACTAGTGTTGGACAAAGCAGAAATGTGTAAGAAATTGCCCCTGGTCACATGCAACGTAAAGAGGCACTCTGAGTTAACACAATGTTTCATGGGGGTGCATCCATCATAATTATGGGATCCTTGATTTCAGTATGTACAGAAAAAGGCTGTCTTTCTGGAGGCTGGGAGATTATTTGAATGTGCTGGAGGTTCAAGCCCCAAGACGACAACCCTACATGGGAATGGAACCAAAAATATTCAGCTGATAGAATAACAAAAAGTCCATAGAAAACTCTCATTGAGAATCTGCAGTAATAACTAAATACAATCACATAAACTCCATCCACGCATCCATTCTTACTGGATCTAAGCTGTTTCTTTAAAAAAGGAGGGGTAAAGACTTCAGCCTGTAGATGACATGCTCTGGAGACACAAACTTCCCAGAAATGCTTTTGTTTCTCCTGCAAAATGTAGAATAACTCCTTTCCTTTTTTATTTGTTAAAGAAAATAGTATATGTGTACTTTAATGCAAATCTATGACACATTGTCTTTACACTTAAAAAATATGTGCTTTTTTGTGTTGGTCTGTCACAAAAAAAACTCAAATTCTGTTGTGGTTAAATAAATCATTTTGCACAGACCTCCACCTTCTGTTTACCTCATTAAAGTGCTGCTTCATAAACATTTATAAACAGCTTAAGATGGAAAAGACGGGGTACCACTCTTAAAGCTGCTGTTTTGGATGCTTCATGATGAGCTAAGCATACTGGTTGTGTCTGTGAGCTGGGAAGAAAAATAAGGCTGCTGATTTCTCCCATGAATAAAGCATGACTTGAAAGTAAGAACACAAGTCTGTCCTCCTGATGTGTGGCTGTGTAAACAGCCGCTGGGATCAAGGGGTTGGCTGGTTTACAGAAGGTCACCAGCAGGCTCTACATCTGCTTACACTTTCTCACATTGTTGACTGAATGTTAATAGTTTATGGGCAAACTTCTACCTGAATATGCCGACAGAGACAATAAGTGTACAAATAAGGGCTCAAACCTAAAGATGAAATCTCAATCTACAGAGGTACTACAATACAATGAAAGCACTAGTAAATGTGCATTGTGTCAAGCAGGAAATAAAGGATTTCTTTTCACCTTCTTTATGGAATGGTTTTGCCAGGATTAAGAACAACTGATTAACATGCAACAAACATCTTCCTCCGCTGTTGGCGGAAATTATTGTTCCACCAGCACAACGCTTTCATCATATTAGAATATTTCACCCCAGCTGTCGCAGAGATTTTACAGAGGTCATGCAGCGCTGTTGACAACTATCGTGTTTGCCTTGGGGTTATGACTGAAGGGGAAAAAAGGGTGAAAACAACTGAGAGAAGAAGACTTGTTTACTCTCGCACTGTGTCATCATCTGTAAATGTGGTGTTGTGAGAAAGGCACGGCGAACCTGAGAAATGGGGAGAGAAAAAAAATATTCTGATCACGGAGGAGTGATGCACAGAACTGCTAGCATTATGGGATGTTATTTCCCGTTACTTATGCAAAATGACAGCACCTTATTTACCTGTCTCTTATTTGTTCTCAGTAGTCCTAAATACATCTACAAAACCATCCTAGTTGATTTACCTAAAACTTTTCTCACCCATATTCTAAATCTGATAGTTATAATTAATGTGGGATTAAATTTGTAAGGGTGTTGCTTTAAATTCAAGTAACATAGTAACTCAAACTATGTTCTAAACAAAGGTGCTCACAATACTTGAAGCTGTGACACTGTCAGTGTTTTTTTCTAAAAGGACCATAGCAGAATAGATGGCTGAAATAAACACCCTAAAGCACTCGAACAATGCAGTGTCCTTTTCAAAGAGAGAAGCCTGACCTTCCAGCTTAGGAGTGTGATGTACTGTAGTTATGATCTACCTTCTGTGTAATCAGCTGACTGCAAGATGTGAAGAAGAAAATAATAACTGTTGAGTTAAACTCAGAGAAAAAGAAGATTTTGTTGTATTTATTTCTTATGTGTGATTTATTCATTAAGCGTTTGGATTTGAAAGATGAAAATCAGTTTTTATTTTAATATCTAATGATGTACTGATTTTGCTTTCATACTTTCTAGGTCGGAGGTCTTCAACAGGGGGTCCGCGACCCCTAGGGGGTCCACAGAGGTACTGCATGGGGGTCGTGAAAGTTTTGGTTGATTTGACTTTTTTTTCTTTTTTTTATATTCCCCCCTGCTATTTTTTCCCACTAAATAAAATGTCTTTAAATCCACATTAACATGAATTCAACACACAGATAAATGGAGACAGAAGATGTCTTTCAGTCATCAATACACACATTCAGTGACACACAATCAGAACTACTTCAATAATCCCAGGGAAAATTACTTTTGTAACATGACTCCATCTGTAATAGACTGACTATAGGACCAGTTTTATGTAAAATTTCTCATATATATATATATATATATATATATATATATATATATATATATATATATATATATATATATATATATATATATATATATACACACAGTATAATTAGGGGGTTCCCACTCCATCTGGCCATCAGTTTTGGGGTCCTTGGCCTGGAACACGTTGAACACCAATGTTCTAGTTGAAGGTCCAACTTTAATTTAACTGTATAATAGGACTTCAGCGCTAAAAGTAAATGAGGAAGAGCTGGGATTGTCTGAAGAAATACACCCCATGGCTGATTAGTTACTTCTAATTCTTATACTCAAATAATATCAGTTGCCATTAATGAATAATGTATAATGACATATAGGGAGACATGAGAATGACTGTATACAGGATTGCATGCCTTTATATTTATAAGTGTCTCTAGTATTAGCTGCCTACCATCATAGGTCCCACTCTCCAAAAGGAGTCCACTTTCCTCCAGGATCCTGAAGTCTCCAACACTGATGAAGTTGTAATCCACTCCTGGCACCTCCCCCTCTCGAGGAAGCCGTGTGGTACCTGGGAAAGCATAGAGATAAGAGACCGGGTTTAAAAACACAGTTCCTAAGAAACAACCGTGCATTCAAGTGATATGATAATATAAACAAAAGCTGCCGTTAGATGCAGAGATTAGCTTGTGGTATTTTTTTGTACTGTCTCACTTCTCAGCTTCTGAAACCATATAGAATGAGTCTGAATCCAAACATTTAAAAGTCACAGAAAATCAAACATTCAGACATCTATTACTTCCTTAAGGTCTGTCTCTCTTGCCACGAGATGTGTATTAATTCTTTGTTATCTGTTCGTTGTGTAAATGCAAAGTTGTTTGTCACATTTTGTTTTGCAAATCTGTGGTGCTCAAAGAAAAGTTATCAATCTGTCTAAACTTAGATTAGTTTTATTGATCTCACAGCGGAGAAATTCACCGGTCACATATTGGCCTAGTAATTAAAGAAGGTGCAAACAAGGAGGAAAAAGGTGCATTAAGTCCATTTTTCTAGCTGGTGGACTCTGGCTTTGATTTCAGACCAAAATCCTTGGAGTTTGGAGGCATTTTCTAAATATGAGCAGCCTGTTGAACGCTAATAGATCCAGTCTGTCATCTCCGATGAGTGCCTGCAGCTTTTATACATTATAAATGGGACTCTCTTGATGCACATGGCAACAGCTACAATCAGAAAACAGCTATGTTAATTATAGATGTGAATTATGATGGAAGTAATGAGTTGTGTAACCTCCCGGAGTGATATAGGTTCACTCCACAACCACAAAGAACAACCTGAATGCAAATGATACGAGGCCCTCCTGCAAGCAGCTTTTCCTCCCGTGGTGAAGCCACAGCCTGTGTAAGTACTGATAGGAGAGATATTTTCTTCTAGGAGGAACTTCCAAATGTGATCATGATTTCTTTTTCTACGTATTGAGCAGAACGATAAACAGAGCACACAAAATTGAACTGTGAGGCCATGTGGCTATTTTTTGATTTGAATAAAGGAAAAAAAAGGTGTCCTTTTGACTAGGGACTGGGATAGGCTTTAATTAACAAGGGATTATTAATACTTAAGACAAAGTTTCAGGAAGGATAATTACAGAGGGAAACATTTATTAATTTGGAATTTAGTTTAAATACAAGATCTTTAAAATATAAGAAAATACATCTTCTAACCTTCCGCTTTTAAGTCCCTCTTCAGAAAATACGACAAAGCTACATAACAATCAACCAGAGGGTAGATGGTCTATGAAGGGTCTCTGAGATTTTTTTAATGTACACCATTGTGCTGTTAATAGAGTGTAAAAGGTCCTTGATGGAATTGATTATGGCATCAATATGGTTCTCCGTCACTGTTATGCTCAGGGTGTGATCGGTGTTTTGAGTTTCATTTTATGCTTTTATTTCCTGAGTCTCAGATTTATTTCTTTAACCTAGTCCACACAAAGATAATCACAATATCTTTTCAAAATCAGATAAGAAAAACATTGGATCCACACATGTGTACACAGCACCAATGAAGCAGCTGTACTACATATGCCGGGCCCTCTGGTGGCGCTGTGACACTGCCAGTGCTGACAAAACGACTGGGTTTTTGCAGACATAGCAGTAAAGAAGCGTAGGCAGATTACAGAAGTAGACTGAGCTACATTGTCATTGTATAAAACAGATGCGGCTCCTGTGTACACACTGAAACATTAAAACCGAACACTCTATAAAAACTATCGTTTGTGCTCTCCCAAAACATGGCCTCTGATTAGGTGTCCAGGTTCAACGACAAAATCTCTTTACCTTCACATTTAATCAATGCAATGTTGCCTTAACAAATTCTGGATATAAAAGATGCTACCTAGACTGAATATTCTTTCAGAAATCCATTTTTTTCTACATGCGAACAACATATAGCAGTAAATATGTAGATCATTCTAATACAATGAAGTAGCACCAATCGGTTTGAGAAGACTATTCTGTCCAAATGAACCGAACTGACATTGAAGCCTTAAAATAGAAGTATTTTGAAATACTATCAGAAGAGCATCTGTAAGGTTGATTTTTCTTTTTCTTTTTTTTAAGTGTAGAGTCTGTGCCAATTAGCAGTGCAAAGATTTCCGGCTGCTCAATGGCCTATTAACCAGATTTATGTAGCAGCTTCCTTTTATTTTTTCCCTCTTACATTTTCTCTCTAATTGGACTGTGACAGCTCCTCTGCTCAGGTACAGAGCAGTTAAAAAACACAAGCACCCAGCAACACCAAAATCACTAACACCTTCATTTAAAGCCTTTGTTAGTAAAAGCAGGTAATATTACATTGTGTAAAAGAATGCCAGCCTGTACTGCCTCTCATTAACAACTTGTTTTCAAGTTGGTGCCGGCTAACATCCCACGAACTTTCCCTTGTAGGCCAATTACTTGCCAAGCAGTCCTGTATCTGTCAAATATCTTCACGAGAAATCGTCCTAGATTTCAAACCAATATTTACCATAAGCTTACATTAAGGGAGTCATTTTGGAAGGCAAGATGAAAGCAACAAAGAAAAAAATGTCTCTTAAACATCTTTTCTTACTTTATTCTTTTTATTTATAATTGGCTTTTTTAGACTGGTCCTTTAGGAAAAAAAAGAGCATTTTTGCAGAAACTCCAGTTAAATGCCAGACAAAAGAAATGTGACGTTTAGAGGATTTATTAAAGAAGGAGATATTTTCAGAGTGCATGCAGGCCTGAGCTTAATGTTTGTTAACTGTAGCAGGTAAAGTGAGTGCAGCTCTTCTGGAGTTACACAGGATCAGTGAAATTTATGTCTAGAGATATTTTATTATGCATGGCAACCAACCTGTTTTCATCTGCATAAATACTGGAAACAGATGGGCAAAGCTAGCAGGTATCTTTTCAAGGAACCCAGTAAGCACACTAAAGTGTTTCATCTTTCTGAGGCATACAAATTGTAATTTGAAAACAGTGGTTGGCAGTCATCCATACAATTATGACAACGTTTGAAAGTAAATACGAATTTTTCTTGGAACTTTCCCAGCTAATTTTTCTTCTGGGTGAAAGAAAACAACTCGTTTTCCAGCTTTGATGTAATTGTAATTTTCAAACTTGTTAGAAGTCAGGTTTAAACTTTATCATCATCATTATCATCATCATCTATTTACAAAGTACTTTATACGTATACTTTAGAACTTTATAACGTGTTGCACAGGTACATAGAACTGAAAAAAAGAGACAAAAAAAATTTATATTTATAAAAAAGCAATAATCAAAATAAAATACAAGGTTAATAGTATATGCAAGAGATTAAGTAAAAATATGATATCTAGCAGTAAAAGCTCTTTGGGACATAAAGACCATTATGACATTTAAACATTAAGAGTAAAATTTTAACATAATTATTAAAGAAGATAGGTTTCAGATATTACAGGCTAACAATGGAACCAAACGACCCATTCATCGGTTACCATTTGCATGTTTCCAAGCGATA